CCCCACAAGAGACAAGTAAGTATTGGAGCCCAATATATAATCACAATGACCAAGTCAGGTGTGTAACATTGCCAGTACAGACTTTTATTAAGTTTAGTTATAAATAAAATCTCTTGACATTGAAGATATAGTTCTTGCAGATAAAGTCCAAAGACAGGAAATGAATCTCCTCCCAAATGCTGCTTCTTATCTTTAAAGTAGCCTCAAATTATTACTAAACTAATAAAGTAATTTTGTTTCAGAAAGTGATTTGATCTATTTTATTTTCAGTTTTTGATAAATCCATGAGTGAGATGAAGGATTATTGCTTTTTGTCTGACTACACATAGAGAAGCACAACATGAAAATAAAAGGAGAACTTTTAAAAGTTATTTTTATGGTAAAGTTGGAACAGGTACTATCAAAGTCTATCAGTTTATTAAGAGATACTGGTGGCTTTGGATAGTAAAGAGCCTATTTTGTCATGTAACTTGTGGAAGCTTCTACCAGCTTCTCAGAAACTTTCAGCTAAAGAGGATGAGTAAAAGAATGCAATGAAATTATATATCAAATTAAACAGTATTTGAAAAATGTAATTACAGATACCAGCCAGCACCTTGTTTGTGGAACTGTTCTAACATATATGATTGCTAATGATAAAACCCAAATTAGAGATCAGTAATATCCTATAAAAATGTCACAGAAAAGACAGGCAACTAAATATGACTGTCAAATACAAAGTGAAACAGACAGAGCAGAGGAAACATTCAAATGACCAATGATTAACAGCAGGGAGTTCTGCTGGTGTAGTCCAGAAGGAGTTGTACTACAAATCCAAAGGCTGTGCCTCTCTGGCAATTTAAATCCACCATCAGCTCTGAGAAGTAACCTCTTCCTGTGCAATTTACAGTCTTGGAAATCCAAATATCAAAGAAATGGCAATGAGGAGGAAGACTGATTAATAAAGAAGGCACTACTATTATTGCAGTAGGCTGCTCTGCATCATCAAATTATAGCCGACCCTCCAGTGGGTTTTCAGAGGTAGTTATTACACAAGAAGAAACTATCCATCTTTCCTCCATACAGCAGTTGCTGGATTCAAACCATGTACCTTTGGCTTGGCAGTACAATTCCTTACCACTAAGCCACTAGAGCTCCCCATTAGCTAACATTTACTGAGCTTCTACTATTTGCTAGGTACCTTAAATTTACAAAATGTAATAAAGAATAATAATAAAAATGGGAGGGAAAGTATGGGTTAAAGCCCTGAAATAGAAGACTTGGAAGAGGTATAGTGAGCCTTTTCAGCAGCCTAATGTGGAGACTGGACAGTTAACAAAACTGCAAAAACAATATACATGAAAAGAAGCAATCTGCCAAAAAATTTGAGCCATGTATCACTGTTTCCTACTTTGCAGGTAAGATACTGCATTGCTGGGCAAAACATACAATACCCTAAGTCAGAGATTAAGTTTCTAGCAGGATTGTGATGTATATGTTTTCTTGTTTAGGTTACTGTTCCAGTTTATCCAAATATGAAAAATTTGGGTCTGTTCTAATGTCACTTCCTTGATCATGGCTGAACAAGGAACTTTTAACTAGCTCATATTACAATGAAGACATTTTTATTTTTAAAATGTGAGAAGAGCCTAAGAAATCTGCCCAAGATCTTGAAGCCAGAAATGCAATATACATTTGAAAATTAACACGATAGTATGACTCACAATGTGAATGAAGGATAATGTGAAATACA